CCAACTAAGCCTACCCAAGGGACAAAGCCGAGAGTAAGTGAGTGAGTGAGTGAACATTATGAGCGTTAGGAAGCAGAAGGCTCAAGTGAGCAAGAATACAATAATCAATGATGAGTCTGCTACCTCAACTGCCTGCTTTGAATTGATCATTTACTCCTAGCCACTCAAATACTTTGGACAATTCCCAAAAGGTTCAGGACTGATTTAATCAGATCCCGAGTAGAAGTCACTGCATCTTGTCCAACAGTGCATGTTTAACCCTACCCAAGGCTACTCACTTGTCTCCCAACAGACACATGTTTAATCATATTTCACGGGGAACCGCATATCTCATTACTGTCTCCTTCTGAGGCAAGTGATACCGACTACAATGGCCTCAGCCCCATGCCACTGAACTTTCATCGATCACGTTGTGTCTAGTTACTCACTCCCAAATGTTTTGAAATTTTCTAGGACACAGACGCACTTTTGGAGTCAGTTGCAGGTCTTCATGACCCGCGAGAACTTCCATAGGGCTCATCTATTACAGATGTAGACCAATGATTGGAAGGAAGTTCTGCTGTTGCAACATAAGAATCACCAACATTTTCAGACCATTGCTTTAGAGTTTATCTCCATAGTAATGAAAACGGGTGTCTACACGACCCCGGGGGACTACGTTATCATTTTAACTTTCTGTTTATTTTTCTGTTTTATTTTCTAGTTCGAATAAAACAATAAAGGCATGACGTCCCGGTTTATCGGATCGTCATGAGGGGGAGAGTGGTCCACATGCTGTTAAATGTCATCGAATCATTCTCGGACACTTCTCTCCTATCAAAAATTTCAACGGCTCTCTTCTATCTCTACACCTCAAATGGTTAGCTATGCTCAAAAGTCAACCATATTTTTCCGCCGTGCCACCGAAAAGGTCTCCTCAAACGCATTCACTTCGAATAGTAAAAAAGACTACATTGTGGAGGAGACAAAGGTCACATATTCGAATTCTGAAGATGATTTCCATGTGCGTCTGCAATTCTTCAAGAACATTCATTCTAGAGGTGCCACCGGACTTCATTCAAGCTGATCCAGAGCTACTTCTGAAGGCAAGGTTTACAAGCAAGCCAAAGGAAGATTCCTCAATCCCCGACATCAAAGATCAAATTCGCCAAGAAGACATCAAAGGGGAGATTGCAAGGATTTCTTCAGAAAGTCTTCTCAAGAAGTCAAGTTCAAAGACAAAGGAAGCTGAATAACAACAAAGACTAAAATATATGTGCTGCAATGCTGATTCTACACGATTGAACACCAAGGGAAAGATTGTTAGAAATATTTTATGGTGTCCAATCTAATTAAATATCTTTGTATTTGTGTAGTTATTAGTTAAACGTGTAATATGGGTCACAAATGTATATCAGACAATTAGCTTCTTTGTAATCCATAAGTTAGCCAACTTCTCCTATAAAAGAAGGCTAACTTATGGAAACTTTAAGGATCGAGAGGCTCGAGAGTTTAGAGGCGAGATAGAGAGTAGGTTTTACGCTGCTCTCCTTCTTGAGGGGAGAGCAGCGGCCAGTTCACGGTATATCAGATTTGGTTTTAATCTTCTCGATATCTTTCTATCATTCACATTAGACATCAAGGTTTTAAGTAAACCAAATAAACACATAATCAATTTATTTGGACTGTATCTGGCCACTCTAATAATTCTGTTAAATCCAACGTTAACAGCCCACACTCCAATGTTAATTTTCTTCACCAGCTTGGCCAATTCCACGTTCGAACTCCTCTCCTTGCTTCTCTATTTCACTTCTCCACTGTCAAATAAAACTCTCTTCTGTTCATTTGGCCCGTTTCCATCTCATCACTTTCTTGAATTTCCTTCATCCTCTATTTTCATTCTTCAATTTACATCTCGATAGCATCCTTGTCGAGCCCTCCAAGTGATCCCCTCACCCTTCTTCTTCCACCCAAGTCTCAGCCTTCCCCGCCCACAACTCCTTTCATGAAAAAATCTTAGCTCACTGGAGCTCAAGACAGCAAGTGCATCAGCATCTAATACTTGGAAGAAGCTATAAGTGTTATCCAAATTGATTCGCAGCTTCACTCCACTCTCAAATGTCCACTTCTCTTTTTTCATTCTTAAAAACACTAGATTGGGTGATATTAATATGAACTGTCCTATCGCTTAAGCCAACATTGGGATATTTTTCAATTCATTTTTCTATTAGATCGTATTCAGTCCAATAAAATCATTATTTTCCTCCAAATCAAGGAAACCCCAACTTGACCACCAATTTCACATCGTGTTGTTTCAAAACATTATGGGCTGAGAAATTTACCGAAGCAGGATTAACTCCCCAATCTAGGCTGATGAAATGGAAATGATTCACAAACGAGAAAGAATGTGGACAGTGAACTCCTCCCCTGCCACTGTTTGCATTTCTATTTCCAATTGCGAGTGCAAGTTGTGAGCCTTGGAGGTCCGCCAGAGCCAAAACAAGGTTTTGGGAGAACAGGGAGGATAAATGGTGAGTCTTGCAGGTCCGCCAGAGTTTAAACAGGGTTTTGGGCGAAGAAGGAGAATATGTATGTGTCGGGTTTGAGTTTTCAAAGAGTTGCTGGTATGGGGTGTGGTGAAGTTTAGCGTTCCTCCAGAGAAGAAATGGGACCTGGAGTCGCTTTAGGTTTTGGGTGAAGGGGATGGTAACGGGAAACCTAATACTACCTCCCTCGCGAGTTGAGAAACCTCCCTGACATCTACAGAATCTAGGCGAAATACCTCTGTAATTTCTGTTGTTCTCGTCGAATCTATCTCCCCTCAAGCGCTGAAGCGGATGAAATTCGAATGCAGCCCCTGACTCTCTCTAATGACGGCCTTGTAGCCGCCAGACGATTCCGGCTGATGTGTCCCACATGTAGCCGGCGAATGAGCGCGACCTGACGCGCACGGCTGATGCTTCGCCCCAGAAGCTGCTGAGCGAGCGCGACCTTCCTTGCCGCTGGACAAGCCGTGCTGGAGCACTGCCCATGTGGCTGCCTTTCTCATAGCACAACGGTTGTTTTTGTGGCAAATAACCCCTAAACATCTCCAGAAAGGAAACACAGAAACTAGCTTGAAAATACCGATTAAGAATATTAGGAATAAATTATGAAAATACTAGCTTGAAAACATCTCCAACGGTTGTTTTTATGTATTAAATAAATTATCAAAATTAATTGGAAAAAACATGGAATCGAACAATTTCACATCATCATGGAATCCCTGAATTTTCGTATCTCAATTTTTCAGATCTAAAATATAGTTGTTCAAATTGGAATCTAGAAAACTAAAATAAAATCATTTATTGAAATAAAAAATCAGAAGAAGATGAAAACAGAGCACGAACGAGAATGAAGAGTAGTGCAAAAGGAGAGGGAGGGGGAGGGGGAGGGGAGGAGGAGGTCTCAATTGGGAAAATGTATTAAAAATGCATTAAATGTTCAATTTAAGACGGTATTTTGGGTGGGTCCACTTCCGATTTGGACCGGGTCAAAGTGGTTTCAGATTCCTCTTGTTAGGGACTTCAATTCAATATATGGTACATTCAAAACGGATAACGAGTGAATGAGAAATAGATTCTCGAAGTTCACTCGTTGAAATAGAGAAAACTAGGAAAAAATGAGTTTTAGTGTGATTTATCACACACCAGAAAACCCAAGGGAATTTCATCCCTTATAAATTAAAGGCGAACCTCTTTAAAGGAGTTAAGATTCCTTGGTAGAAAGGCTCTCTTGGCGCGCAGGGGGTGCTGATCAAATCTCGAAAACGGAGAAGAAAAACTGCGACTTGCAGACACGAATGTCGTCCAAAAATCTATCTTTGAAAGATAGAATTTAATTTTTGTTTCTTCCAGTAAAATTCCTATTTTTTCCAGAATCAGTGGCCCAGAGAATCCTTGTGTTCGCATCAGAAGAGTGTTTCTGTTCAGGTCGCACTTGAAGAGCGATTATGTTCTTGTCGTACCAGAAGTGGTTATGCTCTGGTCGCGCACCTTAGCCTTTATTGTCCAACGTTATTCTCCTTTAATGTCACGTCCATTAAAGCATACTTAACACACAACAAATTCATCCTTATATATAGGTTGCAGGTCATTTGTAACAACACACGACACAACACAGTTCTGCACGTTGTTTCTCAGCTAAAAAGACACAACACAGTCTGCACGTTGTTTTTCAGCTAAAAACACCTTCAGCTCTCTGAAAATTCCTTAATTGTTCACAATTTGTTTCCGTTCTCCGGAAACACCGATTTTGTGCTCATATGGTTGTTCGTAGCCACCGTATCCTGAGAAATTATCGTTGCAACGCTTCTAGCATCGTGAAAGGCAACAAATACGTTGTAAGAAAATTGTGCGTTGCACAAGCTTTGGATTTTGGATTTTTGTTCCTTCTTGTTTCTATTTTCTTGGCTATTTTTATTAGTTAATTAATTAATTTCTTTATTTTTTGATTAAACACGCAATTTCATCCTACACATCCACCTTATTTTAAGGGGCGGGTTTATTACTGGTTTATTAGTTAAAACATGTACTCGTATTGATTTATGAGACAATATTAAATCTTGAGAACAATCAAGAGTTATTATCTCGGGATTGGGTTTTACTCAACTTCTTTATGTCATGATTAAAGGGTCACTTTCAACTATTTTTCAGAATAGTTAATTAAACTTAAAAGTATAATATAGTACTCCGTACTTGAGAAAGTTATTATCTAATTATTATCACAATTTCTATTAAGAATTATTTGATACTTGATAGGGTCGGATTATTATCGGATAATTGTGACATTTGTCAGTAAAAAATTATATAAAGATAAATAAGACAATTGAGACGTTTGGCTATTCATTCATTAATTTTTTTAACTATGGAAAGTAGAACTTAATTTTCGAATATCTAAATAAAGAAACTTAAAATATGTATGGAAATTTTATATGTATGTATGTATTTATGTGTTATATATATCTATACATGTCCATGTAGCTTTTCCCTCTGGGAGTTCGAAACGAACTTTAAGCTCTAATTTGCATGCCAATCATTCTACAAATCTTCCATTAGACAGGAAACCAAAGCGGCCGGGGCGAGAAGGGTACGTTCATCAAGATTCCATCTTTACTTTTTCCTTCTTTCTTTCTTTTCTTGCCTGGTTTGGGTATTCCCCTTCTCTTTTGACTACTGTTGCTGCTCCTGCTTTAAAGCACAAAGAAACAACATATAGTCTTTATACGCTCACACCCTCTTTTTTTCTTCCCTACCACATAAATTCAAACAAACAAACAGATCCGAAGCTGCCTGTTGTTCTATTCCCTTTGTTTAATTGCCTTTAGATCTGCTGCAAAACATGAAACTACCCTTTTCATGGTTTTCATAACCTTGAATTGAATCTTAAATTTGATTCCCTGTAGAGAGCTCTTTTGGAGTTCAGTTAGATCCAATCTCATTATTATTTGTAGACCCATCACACACATATAGTGTTACTGGGTAGAGTCTGTTTAGTTTATTTGGGGTATAGAGTTTGAATGGGGGAAGGAAGAAATGGAAGGATTTGCAAAGTGAGGAAGAGGGGAGGATCATCATCTTCATCTTCTTCATTGGTGAGAACTTATCGGCTAAAAAGGGCCCTTTTGGTAGGGAAGAGAGGGGGTTCCAGAACACCTGTTCCAATGTGGAAGATGAAGATGATGGATGCCTCAAGATCATCCACAATGTCACAAAATTCAACTCCTAATAAGTATTTGCAAGAGAATTGTGGGGATATGAGGAAAGAGTTTTCTGTTTCTGCTAGAAAATTGGGAGCCACTTTTTGGGAGATCAATGGGATTAGTACTTCACATAGTTATAATAATAATGATAATGATAGAGGAGGAGGAGGATGGGGAAATGAGAATTTGGAGAAGGTGATGAGGAGGGGGAAAGGGGATGTAAAGTCATCATCTAATAAATTGGGTTCAAATTCAATGGCTCTGCAATTGTCTGATCCTTCTAGTAGCCCTGTTTCTCCGGTGGGTGGGGTGTGACTATTCTCCTTATTTTTTCATTTTCTTGGCAAGATTCTTTTTTTTCTTACAATTTTTATATTTCCATTTTTGTGGTTGAGTTATTTGGATTTTTTGACACATATATTCTTATAATCTTGATTGTGTCCTGATGTTTTTGGCAATGGATATTTTTAGCAGGGTATGGAGAGATGTCATAAAGTGGGAAGTCACAGAAGGAGAGCTTCCACTGGTTCTCAAAAAATTCTGCAGCCTGATTATCCACTGCACAGTTCTGGATTGATGGAGGTAGGTGTTTCATGCTATTAAACTATTACAGTTTTTCTTCTCTTTAAGATCAGAAATACATCAAATATCTATCCAAGTCAACCCTCCTCCCCCAGTAGATTTAGTGCCATTTTCATATTCTGATTAATAGTTTATCCCTCATAGATTTTCTAATCTCACCTGTTCTATTATTGCTTAATATTTAATGTATTTTCATTATTATTTAGGACTCCTTACTTTGACTTATCATCTCACAAACTAGATAAGAAGAAAAGTTAAATCTAGATTATACTATCTCCGTTCTTATTAAAACTTCCAAATAGGTTTGACACATAGTTTAAGACAGTGGGTATTGTGTGGTGGAGAGTTGTGCAAAGGAGAGAGAAATGTGTAAGAAATGTTGTGAACCACAAATTCTTTATTAAAAAAGGAAAGTGGACGTTTTCATTGGAACGGACGAAAAAGGAAAGTTAGAAGTTTATTTAGTAACGGAGGGAGTATTAGATTGGACTTTAACATATCAGACTAGAACAAACCACAACAACCTAGACTAGATCAAATCAGACTGAATCACACCACTCGGATCGTAAAAAAACTTCACATTTACCTGACACCAGACTTAAAGTGACCAAATCAGATTTGATCATACTCAAAAGAGACTAGAACAGCTCGACCCAGGCCAGACAAGACCAATAATTCTAAACCTAAATAAAGAGTTAATTAGTTTTGTTCTTGTTTGGTTTTGTTCGTTTACGTGTGATATGGGCGGAACTAGAGGGGGACCAACCTAGGTCTCGTCCCACTCCAAATTAAAAAATGTCTCTATTTTTAATGTAAGAATTTCGTGTAATAATTTTCTAAAAGTATTCTTTATATAGCCCAATCTGACCCAATTTTCTGGTTCCGCCCTGATTATATATATATATTGATGGACTACATGGACAAAACCTGCTGACAGTTCTATTTAAGAGAAGAAATTACTTTTTGTGGAAATGCAAAAAAATCGTTTTTGCCCTCATCTTTTGAATACTCCGTCTTTTTTATTATCTTTGCTTAATATCACTATTTGTTTTTGTCAAGATATTAACAAATGAAACAAATATAGCCAAACTTTTACTTGTATCATCAAATGAACCAAATTTTACATTTTAACACTCAAAAAACAAACTGAACTATTATTAAACTCAATTATTATTATTATTAGTATTATTATTATTATAATACTATTATCTGGTGTGAAATGAAATGGGGTGGGGGCCTGATCAATATTTGGAGCTCAAGAAGATTTAGGAATTAAATTAAATAAGGGGTACCCCCATGGGAAAGGGGCGTGAAGTTCAGCAATACTACTAAGCTGAAATGACATGACTAATCGGAAGTGGACAAATACGTCGTACGTGGACACTCAGGAACATTGAACATGATGTTGTTCTCGTTTAGTTTTATACCATACCCAACATCTCATGTTTATTTCCGACATTCTGCGTTGTAATCTTCAAGTTTTTGCTTGTCATTACAGAAAAGATTTCTTAATTTGCACTTGTATACTTGCTGGTTAAATGGCTAATCACAATAATATTTGTTTTAATTTTGATTGCTTTTGTGTGTTAAAAATGTTTAACCAATCTGCCACCACACCAAGAAAATCCCAGTCCTTTCACTTACTCAATAAAAATGAGAACTTTCTCATACAAAACCATTTGATTTCGAAGTGTAACAAATCAGATTAGACAAAACCAATATGTAGACTAGAATAAAGCAGATAAAAAAAGTCTACACCAGTTTAGACAAAACTAGACTAGATAATTATAGTACAAAGCAAAGTCTTTAATGGAAATCAAGAAAAGAAAAAAACATAATATTCCTTCCAGTCTCATATGAAGATTTTGTGTTCAGTTTATGATGATTGACTACTTAAAAAGTTATTTTTTTGTTGATGATATTTGAAATGATATTAATGATTAAAATCCATGTATTTATCTTGACCATAGAAATATTGTGTGTGAACTTTGAATTGGGACTGATAGAGTGATTAATATGCAGGAAACTCAAACGAGACATCGCCTAAAGGAGGTCAGGCGTGGCCTAACCACTTCAAAAGAGCTTCTCAAACTCCTGAACCGGTTTTGGGGTCTGGAAGAGCAACAACCTGCATGCGTCTCACTATTTTCAGCCCTAAAATCTGAGCTTGATCAAGCAACTATTCAGTTGACCAAGGCAATCCAAGAACACAAAGGAGAGATTGACTTCCTCTTGAAGCGGTTCGAGGAAGAGAGAGTTAAAGAGCGGGAAAGGGTCCAAAGCGCCGTTGAGTCTCTCGTGGGAGAGCTCAAAACGGAGAAGAAGCTGAGGAAGCAGACGGAGAGGATGAACAAGAAGCTCGGGCGAGAATTGGCTAGCACCAAAGCATCCCTATCGAAGGCAACCAAAGAAGCCGAGAGCGAGAAGAGGGCGAGGGAGATATTAGAACAGGCCTGCGATGAACTTGCGCGGGGTATAGGGGAAGATAGAGCAGAGGTGGAAGAGTTGAAGAAAGAATCGGCTAAGGTTAAGGAAGAAGTTGAGAAGGAAAGAGAAATGCTTCAACTAGCTGATGTGTTGCGCGAGGAGAGGGTGCAAATGAAGCTTTCTGAAGCAAAGTACGAGTTTGAGGAGAAAAATGCGGCCATTGATGAGTTGAAGAGTGAGCTTGAGGCATTTTTGAGATTCAGAAGAGGAGTAGGAGAGGAATCTCCTAACCATGAAAGAATCAAGGCTCTTGAGAAGCACTTAAGGGAAACTCTTCCGTTGAATGGCGAGAAAGTGAGAGTGGAAGAAGAAGAAGAGGATGATGATTCGGGTGAAAGTGACCTTCACTCCATCGAACTGAACATGGACGAAAACAGCAAGAGATATGAATGGAGTAATCATAATAATAGTAAAGGGAGAAAGTGCATTTCTGCAAATCCCCCGGTCTGTCTGGAAAGGCAAACATCAGAAGGCATTGTTTTGGATTTCACAGAAAATCATAAAAACGGATATTCGTCGCACTCGTTCCACAGTGGTTGGAAAAGGGAATGCGAGGACGAGATCGAGAGATACAACATGATCAAGGATCTTAGAGACCACATTGTCTCTTCTTCCAAAACCACATCTTCCCAAGATTTCATTAGTCCAGCCAAGGTATGGAGCCATCATAGTTTCTCTTCCCAAGATTTCAGTAGCATGGTTGGAGGAGATGCCTTTACAGTGTCGCAAGGAACAGATTGAAGCATTTTTCATATGCAGCATCACCAAGGATAGGATATGGATTATGACAAAAAAGACCCTTTAAGTGATCATCTTATTTAAGGGGTGATTCTGGCATTACAAGCTCAAATTCTTCAGTGACCTGTGCATTACATGCAAATTCCCAAGAAAGAAATACTCTTGATGGTTGTCTTTGAATGATTTGATCTTCATATATAGTCAAAATTTTGTGATTTGGTGTTTGTGTCAGATGAATTGTACAAAGGTTGTCACTTTTTTACTGGAAGTGAAAATTTTATATGTATAGTACTGTTTTAAAATTTTGCAGATAACATTTCCAAAAGTATTCCTAAGACATCACTTCTAAACTGCCCACCATCGTGATATTACCATATTGCCTTCGAACCCAAAAACAAAAGTGGGTGGTTTGTGGGGTATGAGGGCCCATCATCACCATCACTATAACGTTGTGGAGAGACTGCGCATCTGATCATAATGCATGGAACTTTGTTCATTGGAAGTTCACTAGATGTCTCAATCAAGGTCCATGAGTCAGGAGCTTCAAGATGATTAAAAACTTAAGCATCTTTGGTGTGTGTAATATTTGGCCAAGGGCCCTTGGCCAAATTACTTGAGTTGAATATCTATGAGAAAACTTTTTTTGTGTGGCGCATTAAATCACTGAATTATGAAGAGAGTGAAGTTCAAAGTAGCTTATAATTTGGTTCATATATTTTGTTAAAGTGTGATCTAGAGTGTTCTATTTAAGTCTCATATAGTTTAAGAGGGTGTTTGGATCTACATCTGAAAACTGCTTCTACTCCTTCCGGAAGTAGAAACAGATATTGGAGTGTTTGAGAGAAAGAGCAGAAGTACTTTTGGCAACTCCAAATTGCTCTTAGAAGCAATTCTTTAGAAGTTAGGGAAGACCAACTTCTGAAAAATTGATTTTGATTGTGCTTCTGCTTTTAAAAAAGAAGCAGAAACATAGTCAATTCCAAACGCCCATAAATGAGTTTAGTCTAAGATATAATATTATGTGTATTTTTCTATAATCGAAATCTAGTAGTCTAAGATTAAAATCAAGCCATATATGCTAGGGCGATCATTTTAGCTCATGTTCTAGTTTTTATTTACTTTATCAATAAAAAGTATTTTGAATATTTTTATTTGACAAATTAATTTAATTCGTCATTTAAATTGTATGAAACCAATTATTAGATAGACTTTATCACCCAAAAACTAGGCGCAAAATTTGCTAACAATGTAATGAAAAAATAAAAGCTTAAATTGATCATGATGGCCATGCTTCATCTAAAATGAAAAACCTACAACTTCTCTAAACAAATAAAACCAATGAACAATAAATAATAAAAAGTGCATAAATAAGTGATTATGTAAATATGGTTGAAACTAGTCATCCTTGTCCAATTATGTAGACGTAGTGTCCCCCATCTGATTTCAATGGGCACAACATTAATGACTTTTAAATCAATCTGAAATGCACTAATATGATAAAAGTATATACTACCGTTGTCCCAAATTGATTTGCAAATTTGACTTTTCTTGGTCAAACAGTTTCATTTTATTTGCTTAATTAGGATGACAATTTTTAATAATATTCTAATTTGGAGTTTACAACTTTGAAGAGATTTTAATATAGTTTATGAATATATAAATTTTAATAATTAAAAATGGAATTAATTATCGATAAGGAGCATTGACTTTTTTTATTGGTTGACCAAAAAATATTTACTTTGCAAAACAATTTGGGACGGAGGGAGTAATCACCTTTCCAATCAATTTCAGAAGGGGGTGACATTTGAAAAAAGATGACATTTGATAAAAGTAGATCTACCGTCTACGACTTAAATAACAAATTAGCATACTTAGCAATTGCATCGCTAATTTGAGCAGAAATCATCCATATATAAAAAGATTGTCAAAATTAATAGAATAATAACAACCCTAGATACAGCAGGAAATAAATCACTGTCCATAGAAGCTCTAAACCACTTCTCAGATATTTGTCAACGACGAAGAAGATGGGTGAGAGGGGCGGCTAGGGCTTTTTTGCCACCCATGCTTTCGTTGAAATGATTAAATTAGCTAAACCAATTTATGTTAAGGGTATGTTTCGCACAACTAGCTGAAAAGATATTTTATGGGCTTTTTAGTAACTGTTAGCTTTAGTGACTGAAAAGATCTTAAAAAGAAAAGGCATCAGCTGTTTGATAAAAAACCGACTGTTTGATTTAGCTCTGTTTGGTATATAAGCTGTTAGGACTACTTAGTGTTAGAAGCTACGGACTTATCTGAGATGCTACTCACTGTAGCATCTCAAAAAAGATCTTTTATTTTTATAAAAGCTCTTAAAAATTGGCGTGCCAAACATACAACTGGAAGCTTTTAAAGACTCTTTAAATAGTACAAAAGTTAGAAGACAGAAACTTATGTCTAACCTAAATGCGGAGTATTTAAGGTCTCTTTTTTATAAGCTAGAAGGAATGACTCTACGGCCATTTACAATTCTAGAGGTGTACATTTGAAAGAGTAATCATTTGCTATCCTATTGTACTTTCGAGGTATTGCACCTTATTTACATGGGCAAATTAAAATATTACGGTTGGAAGTGTAAAATGTGTAATGATTTACGCCAATTAAATGCATTGTAGATGATACTGTTACATAATTGTGACATACTATACTATATATACCTAGCTAAAAATCTCACATTGGAGGATATAAAGTGGGATAATAGCACTCTAGAAAACTCACCACATAATTAACTACCGTTTGGAAAATAAAATAAAAGAGGCAGTTGATAGCTCAATGATGACTAAATGAGACAATTGAGTTGAGGTTTCAAGTTCAATCTCTGGTAACGATAGTAAACAATGTGACAGTTTCATCCAATGTGATTGTTGAGTTTAAATCCAACATAAACTAATAGATATAGATATAATTTGGTATAACATTCGATTTTTACGTGGAAATCCGGAAAGGGAGAAAACCATGTGACTTTTTAGACTAACATCCAAGCCCGCTCTTTCTCATTAATACTCTCCTCACTATTACAATATACAAATGTTGAAGCTCCATTAATGGAGTATTGTTACTAAGCTAACAAGAAGCAGGGAAGAAGAGGGTAAGTCCCTTAGGGAGAGAAAAAGTAGAGCCCCTTAAAATAGAAGCCTAGCTTCCTATTTATAGAAGGGAGGGAGGGGGCTTTCTAGCCTAATGGGACGGAGAGTCCTTATCGGGCCAAAATGGGCCGGGCAGGCTGAGTGGGCCTAAATGGCTCTCAATGGGCCTCGCCAACTCGGCTCCTTACCGAGGTGAAGCCTTGAGCCTTTGAATAGTAGTAGGCTGGGATAATATTCCCCAAAACAAGTCCCCCAGTTTCATGATTAGTGAGCATGCGAATCTACTCGAGAAAGTATACTGGTGCTCACGTTCTTCCTTGCCTTCCCTGAATCGATGTCCCCGAGTAGTCTTGGACGCAAGGCATGCATAAGTGGTAGGCGAGGTGCAGTCCCAACGCTAGGCACGACGATGCTGAAGAGCTAGTCATTCATGCTGCATAAAGCGGTAGTCTCGACCCTGAATGCCATGGGCGGACCTGACTGAGAAGAAGACACAACAGTGCTGAAGAGCTAGCCGTTCATGCTGCATAAAGCGGCGGTCCCAACCCTAAATGGAATGGGCGGACCCGACCGAGAAGAAGACACGACGATGCTGAAGAGCCAGCGCTCGTGCTGGATATATAAAGCGGCGGTCCCGACCCTGAATGGCATGGGCGGACCCAACCGACAAGAAGACACGACGGCGTTGAAGAGCCAGTCGTTCGTGCTGCATAAAGTGGCGGTCGCCATCCCAGATTAGAAATGGATGAGCCCGACCGATAAGTAGGCACGACGACGCTGTGGATTCGTTCATGCTGCATAATACGACGGTTGCCATCCCAGATTTAGGAATAGACGAGCCCAGTCGTGAGTAGGTGCGACGACTCTGAGGAGTCATTCGTGTTGCATAAGATCTTCAAGAGAAGAAACAAACTCTTATTCCCCATCTCAAACCGAATCTGCCGAGATTACCTGTCTGGTCTGATTTGGACGGATCACTCCAACTAATTCATTGGGGACAACTACCACACTTAGCTCCACTAGCCGTCTCCACATTTGGGTAGCCCAAATGTGTATGCCACACACTTGTGAACGCGGTTGTAGATCGAACCCCCATCCTTTGGACGGGGTATTCCGCGGACTTGACTCTAAAAGACTCGAACCCGTCGGCCCAGGACTCGTTGGTCCACCATTTGCTTTACATCATCTTCAAAACGAGTCTGATCCATTGTTCGATCTTTTTGACGAACGGATCGACAAACTTAGTTGAAATGATGACTCACACCCAATTTATAGTTCAATTCCCCCGTTCATCCCATTTGAACGGCTCGACGTACTATGCCTGGGTGAGAATTTTAACCACAGTTTCGATTCCCCTGTTCGATCCATCTGGTTTTGACTAGTCTGTTCGACAGTTCGTCCATACTAGTGGTTGAGGTGATGTTCGAGGAGCTCTGATCTCCTTTTCTCTCATTTTCTCTGGATTTTCCACATGGAATCTTGCATCCATGCCTTTTTTTTAATATATACAGGGACTCACAATGATGATCATGTTGTGCCGGGGTGGCCGACCGTGGAGCTACAAGGAACTAATTAGATCATCCGCGCAATAGATCTTCCTCCATGGAGCGTGAAGATACCTTCGGGGTGATCAACATATCGTGCCGAGAGGCCGATCATGATATGCGTACAGTGGCGGCAACTGCAGCGGCGGTCCATAAGATATAGTCATGCTGTAAAGATGTCGGTACTAAGAATACCGATCTGGAAACTCGAGCAATGATCCTTCGTCTGTGAGGAGCGGGGACGAGGCCGGTCTTCAAAATATGCTCGTCTCACGGCCCTCAGCCGTGATGGTCTCCTACTCTCCTTGAGGTCCTCGTCCTCCTGGTGGAAGATGCTCTTCTCACGGCCCTCAGCCGTGATCGAGAATGTGTGAGGGTCTAATAGGCACCCTCTGCCTATGGTACGACGGCGCTGTGTCACGCCCCAGACCGCATCTAAGCGCGTGTACAACCGCCGTATGACCAAGTGACATCACTCGCAAGTCAACGTGACTTAATCATACAAGGCGTTCATGAACATAATACATCCATACCCAGTAGTAAACATACATAACAACATCACATTTAAACCAATGAATAGCGGAAATATTCAACGGTAAAGCATGGGCCACAACCGGCCGAAACATGGGATCACAAGCCCAAAATAGTTTGTAGTAAATGAAATATCCATGAGTAAGTCTTTGGTAGTATGAAAGGAAATAAGGAAGTACGAACCACGTCTTCCTTGAATGACTTCACCCGTAAGAAGGTGCAGGTAGCAAGCCCTAACTTCAACCTGAAAATGGTGGGGGCCCCCGAACGGGTCAGTACAAGTACCGAACGAGTAGCAAACTAAATGTAGAGTAATTAACGTTTCAAGTATAAGACTCAAACATAGGGTGATACATACACGTATAATACTTTCCCCCAAGTTATGAAATACATATCAATATATATATATATATATATATATATATATATATATATATATATATACACATTTGGAAATACCGACCCGTAGGTCATGTTTATTTGGGAAAATAGTAGTAGTCAATA